TTTGTCTATCGACGAGTTGAGAAGGTGGACTGTACTTTTGTCTCCAGTTGCAATGTTTTTGGTGGTTGCAGCTAGTTTGGCAAGGCCGTCTGCCTTAGCGTTCTGTGCTCGTGGGATTTGGTCGAGATGACATTCAACGAACTCGAGCAGCAACTTGCAGATTCTGGTCTGATATTTCTGTAACCTTTGTTCCTTGATTTGGAAAGTCCCTATGACTTGGTTGACTACGAGTTGGGAATCGCAGCGTACTCTTAACCATTTTGCTCAATACTTGAGTGTCAGCCTTAACCCTGCAATTACGGCCTCATACTCATCCTCGTTGTTAGTCATATCTAGGCACCTTATGGACTAGCGAATCACTTCGCCAGTTAGGACTTCAAGTACGAGTCCCATTCCAGAACCTGACGCGTTAGACGCATCGTCGGTTTATAGGACCCATAGGTCTTGTGTTTGGGGAGAAGTGTGGGCGGCTTCTCTTTCAACTTCGGGCATTACTTTTGCGCTGAAGTCGAAGACAAAGTCAACGAGAACTTGCGACTTTATCGCCGTTCGCAGTTGATATGTGATATCATGCTCGCTCAGTTCGATGACCCATTTGGCCAACCTTACGGACAGCTCGGGTTTATGCAAAATTCTCCTTAGGGGGAAAGTCGTGACGACCGAGAATGGGTGGCATTGGAAATATTTTCTAAGCTTTCGTGAAGCTACGATTAAGGCCAGGTCTAATTTTTCTAAGTGAGGGTACCTTGTCTCGGCATCGGCTAGTGTTTTGCTAATGTAATAGATGAGAGACTACGTAACTTTATTTTCTCGAACCATGACTACGCTTACAGCTACTTTGGATACATCGAGGTAAACGAGGAGACATCCCCCTAGCTCCGGCTTTGAAAGTAGTGGTGGTGATGACAAGTATTCTTTCAACTCCTTCAGGGCCTGGACATACTCAGAAGTCCATTGGAGGTTGTTATCCTTTTTGAGTACGCCGAAGAATCTTTGACATCTGTCTGATGACCGTGAGATGAATCTCGAAGGGGCGGCGATACGGCTTGTCAACCTCTAAACATGTTTTTTGGTGGTCAAGTGTTCTGGTATCCCCTCGATGGCTTTGATTTGATCAGGATTGACCTCGATTCCTCGTTGTGATACCAGGAAACCCAGAAATTTTCTCGAGGCCACACCGTATCGTCTGAGTATGTCAAAGGCTTCTCCCAGATGGTCGATGTGATCTTCTTTCCTTTTGGACTTGACTAGCATGTTATCTATGTAGACTTCCATTGTTTTGCCGAGCTGGTCTTTAAAGATCCTCGTCACCAACCTTTGGTAAGTTGCTCCTACATTTTTAGCCCAAAGGGCATGACCTTGTAGCAATACGTCCCCTGGTGAGTGATGAATGTGGTTTTCTCCTCATCTTCTTCTTCCATGAGGATTTGATTGTACCCTGAATAGGCTTTCAAGAAGCTCAATAGTTCATGCCCGACCGTTGAGTCGATGAGTTGGTCGATATGGAGTAATGTCAACGAATCCTTGGGGCATGCTTTATTCAAATATATGAAATCCACCCACATCCTTCATTTCCCATTCTTCCTTTTCACCATCACCATGTTGGCAACCTATTGGGGATACTTTGACTCCCTGATGGAGCCATTTTCCAATAGTTTCTCCACCTTTTTCTCGTACCGCGTCATTAATCACGGAGTTGAACTTACGCTTAACCTACCTCACCGGGGGGTGGAATAGGTCGACGTTCAGTTTATGCGTGGTGATTTCCTTCGGGATATCCAGCATATCTGCATGGCTGAAAGCAAACAAATCTGCATTAGTAGTTAAGAACTGACGGAATTTACCTGGTTCCTGAAGTTTGCAGCCGATGTAAGCTTTCTTGCTGTGATCGTTGGTGTCCATTTGAACGGGGTCGAGGTCTTCTATGGTCGATTCCGCAGCTTTGACCATATCAAGGTCTCTGATGATGTTTGCTATCATCACATATTGACCTCGACCCTGCTGATTGCTATGCCTCTTCTCCTTGGTCTTTCGCTTATTGAGTGGCCATGCAGTCTAGGGCAATGCAATAGCATTCTTGGGATGCGCGTCATTCCCTTCGTATTCTGAATATCCCTAGGGAGTCAGGAATTTGATGACTTGATATAAGCTAGAGGGGATGGCCCTCATGGTGTGTATCCATGGCCGCCCTATTATGGCGTTGTACGATATGTCTTGGTCTATGATGTGGAACGTGGTTTCCAAAGTGACACCACCGGCCAGAACTAAGAGCGTGATTTTGCCTAAAGTCCGCTCAACTGCATTGTTACAACCAGTTAGCGTGATGCAATGCGGTATTATCTTATCTTCGAGTTTCATTTGTGCAATAACTCGACGATAGATAATACTTGCGCCACTCCCGTCGTCTACCATAATCCGTCCCATATCGATATCTAAAATTCGTAAAGTAATAACAAGGGCATCATAGTGAGGGAAAACCAAAGTGTTGGTATCTAACTTATCGAAGATGACACTTTCTTCGATTTCGTCGTACCGTTCGCGGGTGATCGATCATTTGAGCTTGTGGGTAGTGATGAACTTTACGCTATTGATGGAAGCATCTTCGCCGTCGCTAATGATCATGTGGACAGTGCGGGTTGGCAAGGGCGGTTTTGGAGATACTTCATCAGTCGACTCAATAGCTTTCTAGTCGCCCTCGAACCGTCCCTGCTCAGCCCATTCTGGAAGGTTACGATTGACATCCCCTCCAACACGTTCGGTAGGGTCATCCTTACTAGCCTATCCATCCGTTAGATTTACATCCAACCGGGTGAGCGATAGCGGCTCCTGTTTACTTGTGCGTCGGTAAACAAAACATGCTTTTTGGGGGGAGAGAAAACGGGCAAGGAAGTCCCTTAGTCCCTCTCCTGGAGATTTCTTAATAGAAAATATGTCGTTCACTCTTGCCTCGGCTTTCTAGGCCCCAACATGAGCCGTTACGAACTTATCGACCATCTCTTCGAAAGTTTCAATTGAGCGTGCAGGTAGTTGTGAATACCATGTCAACGCTCCTCCTGTGAGGGTTTTACCGAATTTCTTCAACAAAATGGAGGATACTTGTTCTTTGGCGAGATCGTTGCCTTTCATGGCGGTGACATAGTGGGTCACATGATCTTCAGGGTCGGTCGTGCCATCATATATTTTTAGGTAGGGCAACATTTTGAAGGTTTTCGGTATGGCATGCGGGGATGCATCGTTGTATGGCTGCTCGACAAATCGACCGGCGTCTCTCTTCGGCAACAATTTGGGGGCGGCCGGTATTTTATCGAGCCTTTCCTGGTATTCTTTCATTAGATTTCAGAGTTCCTAGTTCCCGTTCTCCATCCTTTTCAAAATAGTTGCAAGAGTGTTATCACCTGTATTGTCATTGTGAGTAATACCTGTTGTTGGAGGTGGAGGGAGTTGGTCACATTGTTCGTTCACCCATTGCGCAGTGCAAATCCTTGCATTTTCCACAGTCGCATCTCGGGAAGACTTGTTGAGGACGCCAGCTAGCATGTCGGTGAGCCATGCTTCGAGGAGCTTTTTTACAACTAGGAGCGTCTCTTCCCCCATAGATGTAGAGGACCCCTTACCAAGAGATTTTGTGATGCTGCAGTGAGGAGGGGGTGACCCATCTCGCCTAGGGGTGGCGTTGGGCGTTGCGTCGTCGTCCGCTATTTCATAGCTCTCATTGATGACGTTCACGAGGTTGGTTGGGAGGTTACTTATTATTCTCGTCCTTTCTTCTCCGTTACATGCCAAATTGGATTTGTGCATACAAAGAAAAGAGATCTTGTTCTTGCTCTTTTTTTTAACGTTAGCGATCCGTGTTAGTTATAGATCTAGAAGAAACTACAAATTTAACTAGACAGTCCCTACAAACGGTGTCAAATTGTTTGACCAAAAAGTATGATTTTCAGCTAAAAGAGTTGAGTTTGTATAATAATGGGTTAAACCTAGTTAAAAATAATATTCCTAGATGTGAGTTCAGAAAACGTGAGTAACATTAGACATATCTAGAAATGTGTTGACTATAACATATGTTGATTGTTCTAAAAAGTATGAGCAATAATGGGGGAGAACTAACAATAACTAACATTAAATGACATTTAAGTAAATAGGAAAAGTGGTTAACCCAATAAAGGATGAACTAGATGATTGTCACTCCTGACAATGATGAATGACAAATAAATCATCGAATGTTTGAATTATCTTCGAATATGATGGAAAAGTGTGGAATAATATGAACAAGGATCTTGATGAAAAGGTGGTGTTTGTATCTTTATAGAAGAGAGAGAATCTTTTCTCAAAAGTCTGTTCTTATCAAATGAATGTCACATGCCCTACGTCACTGTCTCTTTTTCTATAAATATATGAGACATACCCCTAACACACCCTAATAGTACAAGTGTTTAATATCCCATTTTGAAAACTAGGCGTTACAACTCCTCCGCAATTGGTGTTCGATCTCGCCCGTTGTTGATATCTCGACCACAATCCTCGATGTTTCCTGGTCGACCTCGACTGACCTATTCCTTAGTGTTATATTGCCCTAATTATTTTAGCATAGATTTCGACCTATACAATAATGTTAGTATGTGTCGTTAAAAGATGACAGCAATGGTCTAATGGAGCACAACAATGCCCAACGCATATCAGGGTGAAATTGGAAATCTCCTTTCGATATTTTCTTTTCAAGTAAACAATTTAATAGAAAAAATTATTAATACTCTCACTCGTTAGGGCATGAAATTTGTTCACTTGCATTCATGTGAACATGATTGGTGCAAAAGCTGAAAAAGGGTGCCCAGGAAAACGACAGAAACCAAAGAGAACATGACTTGATGCAAGAGATGCACGTACATGAAACTCTACGCGACCACCGTTGGTTCGTTTTCGATATTCTCGTCTTCGACTACAAGTACTAGTGATATTATCTAGAAGACTTCATTTCCTCCAAAATCAAATTTTAGGATCCACATATAAAAAATCATTGCACGCCACAAAAATTTGTAATTTTATTGAAGGGTTTGATGAATATCTTTACTCTAGATATTTTTAACGTTTCCTTTTGCAATGCTATAAATCCATTTTTTTTAGCCAGAAAGAGGAGGAAATTAGTTACGTTGATATTAGATAAAAATCAACATGGCAAGCATTGGAACTTCAAAATTAGGTGTTATGCCGGAGGTAATGGGATTTTCACACCAAGAACTGTCACTTGTCATGTTTAAGAAATTCAAGCTGGCTAGAAAACAACTTCTCCACCAAAATCTCACATTTACTAATCGCCGGAAAAATGGAATTACTCGAGCCATAGCACCAGAAGCAACCAAGGTAAATAAATTCCCTCTGTTCTTTCCTCCTTCAATAAAGGAAGGCGAGCAGCTTCAATTTTGAGTCTCTTTGTCTACGTGTTTAGTGGACCGTGAATTAGAGGTGATAGTGCACTTTGGATGTTTTTTTGGCACTAGTAGTCTGTCCAGTGGCGACATCAAGATTTTCGCTAAAGTATTCAAGATTTAATATATATGTGTAAAAAAGTAATTTTTGAGCTATATACGCAACATAATTTTCTATATACACAGACACGGTATTACTTTTTCGATGAAGAGTGTTCCACTGACCACCCTTCAGTCTAGTGGCTTTGCCATGGAGTCTGTCTACCCCTATGATATGTGTCTCTGGTAGTTTTGTAAGAAAATGATACTCTTGCATGGAAGATACAGTAGCAGTATTTTGGGAGTAACATTTATCAGTAGTAATGGAGAATGAATGGTGGCTCAGCAGGTTAAAGTGAAAGTCAGTCCAATTATAAATTTCTGTTTCTGTCATTGTCATGGAGTCTGTAGTTATACTTTTCTTATCTAATCTTTACCAGAAGAAAATCCTGAATGATAGCAATTCCTTGATATCCATAATGAGCAATTAGATATTTTGATTTTCGACTAGGCTATATCTTCTGCTAGTCTAAGATTGTGCAACTTCTGAAAGATATCTAATGAAGTAGAGAGAAAAAAAGTGGATACAACAACAATTATGTCTCAGTCCAAACAATAAGCTTGGATCGGCTAGATGAATTTTGCTTGACCATGCTCCCCATTAAGTTCATTAGGCAGGAATACTCATCGCTATATACTACGACTAGGTTAAGAGAAACAAAATATCCATGAAGTTGGAAAATGGAATGGAGATAGAATACCAAGCTGCAGCCTCTATATTGTCTTTTCCTAAGAATTTAACTGAAAAACTTCTCTTGGTTTCTTTTATGATGCAGGCAACTGGTCCAACATCTAGCAGTGTCCCTTCAGCCAATTATGTGCCTGTTTATGTAATGCTTCCAGTAAGTCATAGACCTTGTCATTGGGCTTGAAACTACATTGATGGCAAATGCTAGTTTTAACATCTTCTATTTTCTTTTTTACGGCTGGTGATGAACAGTTAGATGTTATTTCACTAGACAATGTTTTTCGGAACCAAGATAAGTGTGAGAAGCAGTTCAAGGAGCTGAGAGCAGCCGGAGTTGATGGGATCATGGTGGATGTCTGGTGGGGGATCGTTGAGGCAAATGGCCCCAGGCAATATGATTGGTCTGCCTACAGGAGCTTGTTCCAACTTGTTCAAAAGACTGGCCTCAAAATTCAAGCTATTATGTCATTCCATCAATGTGGTGGAAATATCGGAGATGATGTTTTCATTCCTATACCCAAATGGGTGCTCGCAATTGGAGAAAACAACCCTGATGTTTTCTATACTAATCGGGCTGGTACCAGGAACAAGGAATGCCTCTCACTTGCTGTTGATAACCAACCTCTGTTTGAAAGTCGGACTGCTGTCCAGGTACTTCTCAGGAGGATCAATCCAACTCTTTGCCTCAGATCCTAACAGACGTGTATAGTTTTGAGTTTAGACTCTTCTTAAAATTCCTGATGCATTTAGATGTACAGTGACTACATGAGGAGCTTCAGAGAGAATATGTCTGATTTCTTGGAAGCTGGAAGCATAGTAGACATAGAGGTAGGACTTGGCCCTGCTGGTGAGCTAAGATATCCGTCATATACTCAGTCTCAGGGATGGAAGTTCCCTGGCATTGGAGAATTTCAGGTCAGACTTGGTTCAAGCTGATTCCACTTTTGTAACTCAAGACTCTAAATTCTTTATTCATTTTGATAATCAAATGCTGCAGTGCTACGACAAGTATATGAGAACAGATTTCAAGGAGGCAGCGACAAATGCAGGCTACCCGCAGTGGGATCTTCCCGATGATGCAGGAACATATAATGATATACCTGTCAAAACAGGATTCTTTGGACCAAACGGAACGTACCTTACAGAGAAAGGGAAGTTCTTCTTGACTTGGTACTCTAGCAAGCTACTGCTTCATGGAGATCAGATCCTTGATGAAGCAAACAAAGTTTTCCTGGGATGCAAAGTGAAGCTATCAGCTAAAGCAAGTCTTAGTCCATCAAGAAATTCTTTAATCTTGATGTAACTGATCCATTTTGACCGCGCAAGCTAAGAGAATTTTCCCTTCTGTCGATTTTGCTCATGCAGGTAGCTGGAATTCACTGGTGGTACAAAGATGCCAGCCATGCTGCAGAGCTAACATCAGGATATTATAATTTGGACAATCGGGATGGATATCGACCAATAGCGAGGATGATGTCAAGGCACCATGGTACCTTGAATTTCACTTGCCTTGAGATGAGGAATTCAGAACAGCCAGCTTATGCTAAGTCTGGTCCTCAAGAGTTAGTTCAACAGGTTAGATTAGAAACTCAAGGCTTTTCTAACACGAACGTCGTTGTTTGCCAACTCTCTGTCCAGTGTAGATCTTGGACAAACTATGACTTGACCTTTACACTTTACCTGATTATGTACAGGTTTTGAGTGTTGGCTGGAAAGAGAACATTGATGTAGCAGGTGAGAATGCACTTTCAAGATATGATGGCTACGCCTACAACCAAATCCTTCTCAATGCTAGGCCAAATGGTATCAACAAAAGTGGTCCACCAAAACTAAAGATGGCTGGGCTGACTTACCTTCGATTATCAGACAAACTCCTTCAAAAGAGGAACTTCAATACCTTTAAAACATTTGTCAAGAAAATGCATGCCGATCTGGTAAGTAGCCTCCTAACTAATTTTTTGTCAGAAAAATGGTATGAGGGGTGGGAGTTGGTGCTTTAGAAAAGTTTGAGTTTCTAATTCTTGTGATTGCTGTCTTTTACAGGATTACTGTCCAGAATATGAAAAACCAGCTCCACTGAGCAGATCAAAAAGGGAGATTTCAATGGATGAACTTGTAACAGCAACCCAACGAACAAAACCATTCCCATGGGATGAACAGACAGATGCAAGAATTGGCGGTATATTGGCTGAATACTGGGATAGGCTGCTTAACAAGTTCTTTCTCTCTAACTGACACCTATTTTGCCATGAAAAGACTCATTATTCTTGAGTTGCCGAAATTCACATGCGGGGAAAATCACATTTTGGATCTATATGTATATGTAAATTTGAATGTAAAGATATGTAGGACACTTTTATGTCTATATGTACTTCACATTAAATCTCAGAAAGAAAAAATCTCATACATGCTAGTATGAAAATCTATACGTCTGTCTTATATTTATATAAGGATGAAATTATCATTTATCTCATGTCAGATATGTGTAGTAATGTTGAAACAACAACAACAATAATAAATCAAGTGTAATCCCGCAAGTGGTACGCAAACCTTACCCCTATCTAGAGAAAGTAGAGAGGTGGTTCTCGATAGAACCTCGGTTCAAAGAAAGATGAAGAAAAGCAGAAGCACCAGGCAAAAACACCAGCAAAATAACAAGAAAACCGAAGTGAAAGAAACATCAGGTGATAACTTAAGGAAATCATTATTCTGATCCTAATTCCTGATATATAGACTTTGGCTGAAAATATGACCAAAATTTGACTTGGGAATCTTGGTATGTTTAGTGAAATAATGTAAAGCTCGAAATGCTCGAAAGCTATACTTGTAACTTGTAAGTTAGTTCTGGTACTGTGTAAATGAAGAACAACTGAATATGACAAAAGAGAGGGAATTATGTCCTTAGATCCATTCCATGTATGATAGAAATCACCTCACATCCCTTCTAATAAAGGCCATTCCTACAAGTCTGCTACACAGCACTCCTAGAAACCAAACTTTCTCTAGCACGTCATGGAAAGGACAATGTGCACGAAATTCTGATTGGTACATGGAAGAAATTGGCTAATTCAACCGCTTTTTATTCAATTCTAGTTGAGTTAATATCTCGTCAGTACAAGTCAAGCAAATGAACCCCTGGCCTTAAAGTATACCTCATAACAATTTATCTCCAGAGCATATAACGATCCTTTCACAATTGAGGTTTTAATTTACCTACTAAAATATCACATGTCTCTATCCAAGATTCTGATTGCTTTCTTCGAACTAATTCATATGCATTTTTTCATTAGACTTCTTTTAGTTTCTTAGTAAGAATGAGTAAGGATTTCATGTCTACATGGTAGACATTATAAGACATACAACAACAACAAACCCAGCGAATTCCTACAAGTGAGGTCTGAGAGGGTAGTGTGTACGCAGATCTTACTCCCTACCTTCAACCTACACGGTAGACATAAGTAATAAATAAAAGAATACTAAAGATTCGAGTTATTGAATAACTCTTATGATTGGCTCACCATTAAGGTAGCATTTAGCCCTATCTTGACAATATTGTTATACTGATCAACTGAACTTGCAAGGTTGGGATTTGAGTTTGATCAGGAGACAGGCCTTGTAAAGTTAACAAGTTATTGTGTACTTTCCCCATTGAGACTCCATTCTCTCTACATTACTAGCTAGATATGCAATAACACTAGTAGGTAATAACTGAGCTAAACCATTCATCTCTTGAGGTATTATTTTATTTTATTTTTTGAAAGAGAGTCGGACTTTATGGTCCCTAGACCCTACTTGTAGGACTGCACTGGGTTTGTCATTGTTGCCGTAGAATCGGACTACACGGCAGAAAAAAAGATGGAAATGTTTGTTCTGTTTTGACATGAACCGCATGTGGTTATTTGTTAGGGGCCTAACTCTTTGAATCGGGCGTGGCGCGGTTATGGCAAGGATTGGGGCGTGATGCCATTGCCATTGGCCCATGCGGGAGCAAAACGATCATGCGGGACAATGGACGAGAAACATTGTCAGGAGAATAAGTATTGGCCAAGGTCTTGGGACAGGCAAGACAAGCTTGGCAAAGGCTTGATGAGGCAGTGTGGGCAAGTTGAGGCGGCATGGCACGGCATGAGCGCCAAAATCAGAGGTAAGGGCGATTAGGATTGTTGGAGCGCCAAGTACAAGTTAAGCTAAATCAAAATGGTGCGAAATGTTGGCAAAGGGTTTCAATATCTAAGGCAAAGCTATGTGAAACAAAATTCAAGCAATGGCCCGGGTGATACAAATGTTGACAAAGACAAGGCAGAAATGCGGCTAAGGCAATGTGCGGGCGACAAGAGTGTCGGGCGTGTGCGGCAAAATCATGGGCAGCAAGTTGCGGACAAGGCATTGGCGCAGAGCAATGTCAAAATCAGCCAAGGATGGGTGTAATGCTAGTCTTGGACATGCAATAGCGGGCCAAGAAAAGGGGCACATGCAGTACACTTGCCAAAAGCAGTGGGCCCTTGTATTTTTGTAATGACTTGTATCCATGTCTATTTAATGCTCGTATGTAATATCATTTCGTGTGGAAAATGGCCTAAGTAGTTGGGGATGTCAACTATAAGTTAGGACAGATTTAGCAAAGCTGTGTACAAGGCAGGTTTCAGTGGAAGGTGGGACTAGTACTCCACCAAAGAGCAAAGTGCTCCACAAAACAGGGCCAAGTGCTCCACAATACATGCTTATGAGGGCCATTTCGTGGGTAATACCCCATTAAGTGGTTAAGTGCTGATTTAGTACTTGAAGTGGGACAAGCACTAGAATGAATTGTCCCTTTGTAAGTTACCCCTTCAAATCTGCCAGTGGCAGCACCTATACTTATAAATAGGTGGGAATTTCTTGTGAAATTCAACAAGAGAGAAGTAAGAAGAGGGTCTTCATAGAAGAAGAGTGTCTTCAAAGAAGAAGAGTGTCTTCAAAAGGAAGTTCAGTTGTGAGACTTCCAAGTGAGAAACAAGAGAGAAACGTGAGGGTTTCTAAGTATTTCAAAAGGGAGCTAAGGCTGGGTATTGGGTAGGTCTTAGTGTGCAAGATCGACTTATGATCTTTGCTAGACGAAATGGGCTGTGAACGACTTGTGTTCATAGTAAAGTGGGAAACAAGAAAGAAACGTGAGGGTTTCTGAGTGTTTCAAAAGCGGGCTAAGGCTAGTCATTGGGTAGGTCTTAGTGTGACAAGATCGACTTGTGATCTTAGCTGGTCGAAGCGGGCTATGAACGACTTGTATTCATAGCAAAGTGAGGGTTCCTTTGTATATTTTCATATTAATACAAAGGTAGGGATTTTTCCGTACTTGATTGTGTTCTCTTTTATGTTGTTGCCGAATTTTGTTTAAGGCCGGACTTGTTAAAAAGTTGGCTAAGTGTTGGAAAATACTGAGTAACTTGAGTGTCAGGTTGCTGCCGCCCAGTGTCATCTTGCGAAAAATTTGGCCCTGTGACATTAGCCCACCATCAAATTTTGAATAATTAACTGGATTAGCATCCCATATTAGCTATAAACTTAAAATAAATCTCTTTAATTTTTATAACTCATTTTAATCGTTGTCCACATATGTATTACTGGTTTTAGCCAATTACGTAGGTAAAATTGTAGGGATTATTTAAAATTCCCTAATATAAGATATTGTAGGAGATACGGTACCCGTTCTGAAGTTATTTGGGGAAGAAGAAGATAGAAATGAAAGAGAAAAGAAGAATTCTCATTAATTGTGTAGTGTGCTAGATCTGGATTACATATATATAGAGATTAGCTTAACTAACTCCTAACTACCTACTTAACAACTTAACTACTTAACTAACTTATGGACAATGACATTTATGTCCTTATATTATTTAACAATCCCCCTCGAGTTAGGTGGTGTAAAAATGTCAAACACACCTAACTTGGAGCTCAAATATAAATGTTGAACCTTACTTAAACCTTTTGTTAGCAAGTTTGCTGGTTGACCATTTGTGGAGATATATTTTGTGTTGACTAGTCCTTGTTGGATAGCTGCTTTGCTGTCAGTAAATATGTCAACTGGTAGGTTGACTTCAGCATCAATCTCTTTCAGCATTCCTAGTAACCATGTTAATTCTGCCACAGTTGCAGTTAAACTTCTGTATTCTGCCTCGCCTGAGCTTCAAGAAATAGTAGTTTATTTCTTGGATTTCCAGGAAACTAAGGAGTTGCCCACCTTGATTAGAAAATCAGTAACTGGACTAGCTGCCCAGTCTGCATCACAATATGCAGTGACAATGTTGTTGTGATGACTAGATAGTAGAATACCTTGACCTGGACTATTTTTAACATACTTCACAATTCTTAATATTGCTTCCATTAGAGACTTTTTTGGTTGTTGAAAAAATTGGCTTAGAGTCTGGACTCCAAATGATATATCTGGTCTTGTTATAGTCAAGTATAGAAGTTTTCCTATTAACCTCTGATAGGCAGCCTGATCAACAGTGGGATCTGCTTCTGATTTTTCATCATACTGCTTAGTTGTAAGCTTCTCATTTGTATCAATTGGTGTAGTTGTTGGTTTAGATGTTGTTAATCCTACTTCTGCAATAAGTTCCGATGCATATGTCCTCTGATGCATAACAATACCCTCACCGGATCTAGCAAATTTTAAGCCCCGAAAATACCTTAACTCCCCCCCAGATTTTTCATTTTGAAAATGTTCTGCAGGGAATTATCGGTGTCTTGAATAAATTTCAAATTGTCACCAGTAAGTAACATGTCATCAACATATATTAAAACCAGTACCATACCTTCAGTTATCCTTTTTATATATAATGAATGATCATACTGACTTTGCTTGAACTGTAATTTTATAAGAGCTTCAAATAGTTTTACATTTCATTGTCTTGGGGCTTGCTTTAATCCATACAAGGATTTGGTAAGTCTGCATACCATCTTCTCCCCCTGGCTTCCAAATCCATGAGGTAAATCCATATATATTTCATCAAGTAAATCACCTTGAAGAAAGGCATTATATGCATCCATTTGATGTATATGCCATTGTCTAGCAGTTGCCGGTGCCAGTATTGTTCTAACAGTTACCATTTTTATCATAGGTGAAAATGTTTCTTGATAGTCAATCCCTTCTTGTTGGCTATAACCTTTGGCTACAAACCTAGCCTTAAATCTTTCTATCTCTCCTGAAGCTTGATATTTTATTTTGTATATCCATTTACAGCCTATAGGTTTCTTTCCTTCGGGTAGTTTGATTAATGTCCAGGTGTTATTGCTTTCTAATGCCTTTATTTCTTCTTGCATTGCTGCTATCTATCTAGGATCTTTACTAGCTTCAACATATGTAGTAGGCTCAGTGGTAGAAGAGAAAGCTGCAATAAAGGCTTGGCATTTTGGAGATAGGTGATCATATCCTATGTATTTGTTC